GGAGAAAAAGAACATTGCTTTATGAATCATCCTCTGAATACCAACGATTACAAAACAGCGGAAAACCCTGCATTACTTCCTGAAAATCAAATTGTTAAACATTTGCTACATAAACTACATTTAATGCTTAAGAATTCATCTTTTATTAGGATTTTAAGGTTAGTCACACATATTACTTTTCAAAACTAGTAATTATTTGATTACTACCAGCACATATATTTACATGGAACTGAAACCAACCTGGAAGTAGTTTTTAGTTACCATAACTAAAGAACCTCAACTAGAACCGATACAGAAAACTAAACAATTTTTCAAATCAGAAATGAACAACTAAACAACAACAATAAAATATTTATTTTTCTTAAAATTTATCATCACGTTGTTGCAATAAACTTAAAATAATAAAAATTATATTATAATAATCACAATAATGATAATTATAAGAATATTTATGATAATACTAATAGTAATAATAATATTTAAAAAGTCTATAACATAACAAAAAATAAAATCATAATGAAGTATTGCTATTATGAATAAATATAAATTGTTGATCGTCAGCTATTATGTAAATTTTTTTTTTTAAATAAAGAAATGAAAATAAATTATTTTGAAGTTTTAATTTTTTGAACTCATGAAACCTGTTTCATTAACTGATGCACTGCTATGTAATTGAATACGTAGCATACCTTAAAGTTTTATAGTGAGGTAGATTAAGGTTTCTATTATAATATTTCTAGTTAAATGTGAATGTTTTAATTGAGTTTCCGTGAAAAAGGTTGAAATAGAGGAGAGTAAACTTTTATTGAAAGAATCAAAAGCAAAAAGAACATTCGCAATCTAACTAAAACTAACTAAAGTCTAACTAAAATTCTTATTTTTTCAGCTAAAGCTTATAAAATATTAATTTTAAGTTTTTTAATGAAGCTTGAAGTTTTTATTTTTTAGAGTTGAAAATTTAATATATAGACTGATTGACTCAGAGGCTATAACAATTTATTAATATTAAAGTTCTCAATTAGTTCCCAAACCTGAAAACAGTAATTGAAATGAGACTGAAAAATTGCAAAATACAGTTTTTTATGCTGTTTTATTAACATAAGGACAAATTATTGAAAGCATGTCATTAGCTCTATTAAGTTTTTTACGGAGTGCATCTATGTGAAAATTCCATGTAAGGTTTAAATCTATAAAAAATACCAATATATTTAATATAGTTTGTTGGATATCAACGTCTATTATTAATTTTAACTTTAATTATATGATTGTTGTACTAACATTTTTGTCTCTAAGATGAAAAAAATATTAGTTCAGTTTATTCCTAGTTCAGAGAAACTATGTTTGGATTTTGCTAATAAGCTAAATCTTTTAGATCTAAGTTTCCATTCTTGCACAAGAAGACTTATTAATATGCAAGACGTTAATATCGTCAGCAAATTTAAGGACTGATGATTGTGGACAGAGTTATCTATATAAATTAATTATATTAAAAACAATAGAGGGCTAAGAATAAAACCTTAGGAAACACCACAAATTATGTGCTTACTATTTTATTTGCAACCATTATTTCTAATAAACTGCTTTTGATTTGAGAGATAATATTAAAACCTATTACAAACAACCCTTCGGATTCCATAATATTCAACTTTAGAAATTAAAATGATATGGTTAACAATATCAATAGCTTTTGTAAGTCAATAGAAAAACCAACAACAAAATGACTAGTATCCAGTCTTATAATTTAGAATAGATTAGTTTTTCAAGAAGCTTCCTAACGTTAGATAGAATAGAAACTGGTCTATTTTTAGTACATAAGAGTTTTATACTTTTTTTTATCTAATAGAATAACGCAAGATAATTTCAAAATGTCTTGCAAAATTTATTAACAAAGAGTTGCTTATCAGCTTAGAGATTATAAGAAAATTCAGAATTTATTTATTTTTTGTTTTTTTGTTTTTGTAATTCACCTTCCCAAGGTCGAGAAAGCCATTACAGATGAGGAGGCTATTTGTGGTTATTACCCACTAACCTCGAAACACAACCCTGGACAAACAAGGCCGCGGCGCATAAAAACAAGTTGATATTTCAATTTGAGTCAATAAAAATGTTTGTAGGAATAATGTTAGGATCCCTACATAAATAATGTTAAAGTAATATTTAAAAATAAATAAATATTATATCGTTTTAAAAAATCAAATGCTCTTAGTAATTGATTGTTTTTAATTCATTTTGTAAACTATTTATAGAACTCTTCTTTTTTATACTACTTTAACAATAATTAAAAAAATTACCCATTAAAATTATAGATTTCTTAAAAAAAATTGTTCAAAAGAACAGTAAAATTACATATCAAATTATTGGTTTGTTTTACAACTGATGAAATTTACAGTGTGATATTGCATGCTACATGTCTAAAATTGCAAATTATAAAAGCATATAAACTAGGTCTATGTAAACAAAGCTGCAACTAACCTAAATATTAATAACTATCAAAAGAAATGGTAATATTTTAAATTTTAACTGTTTTAAGTTTATAACATAAGTTACTAAATGTCACGTCTGAAACAGGAAGTTATAAAATACTATATACGAGTAAATAATCTATATTATATAAATTATTGATCAGGTAACCCTTTAGTTTATCAAATAAATAAAACTAAAAATGTATTTAATGCTTTATTTAGATAATTTCAAACAATGTTAATAATCTTCGAAGTTACAAACAACAGTGTGTAATTTGAATATTGTATATCCGTTTGCTTTCTCTACTAAAGTTTAGTAGATAAAGCAAATGAATCAAAATAATTTAAATTACGATTTTTTAAAATAGCTTTACACTTAAAAAATGGCAAGTTAAACGGCAAAGCATTTTTTATCTGTTATAAATAAAGAACTATAATATAATAGCAGATCTCAATCAAACAAGCAAAATTTGAGAATATAATTTACAAAAAAAGCACTTCATATTTATTGTGGAGAGCCTTTATAATAAAAAGTTTATATTTTTTCATTATTTTAAATAACACGTTCGTAAAATCATAGATTTTTTGCTGATTTTTAAAAGAATTAGTTTAGAACAACTTTAAAACCGAAGATAAAGATTATTTCATATCATAATCAATATTATTAAGTAACAGTTATTTTTGTAGCAAATTTTCTTTTAATGAACTTTTTTTTTTCTTTGACGTAGATCACATAAAACCTAGTAAAAAATCTTCTTCTTACAAATACAAAATCTCTTTATTTTTTTTTTAAACTTACAAGAATGTAGTTACACAAATCTTAAAATAATAGTATTAGTATTATAATAATTACAATAACAATTATTATAAGAATATTTATAATAATAAGAATAAGAATATTTATAATAATACTAATAGTAATAACAATATTATAAAAATCTATAACTTCACAAAATAATATTTTTATTTACAAACTTTAATTATAAATAAAAAGCATTTTAAAAAATATCTAACGTAAACAATTTTGGGTGTTTGTTTTCTTATTAGTCTCCAAAGCATGCCTAATATCCATCTCTTCACAACAAATTACCACACACTGTTATTAATAATCTCGCAATACACGCAATGCAAGCTTTGTAAAATAGTTTACTTTTTTAAGATTTGTAACAGTAAAACTGTGGAAATGTAAATATATGTTATTTGCTAGCAAAAATATTTTTAGAGTGTTTAAAAAAACATTTATATGCAGTACAACGCTAAAATCTATTTCTATTAGACAAATGTGTTTAGACCGGTTAGTTTCTTATAATAACAATAACAATAAAGCATTCAGGTAAGTTTGTTTAAATTTTAAGTCTGTCTATCATTTCAACCTTCTTTGCTATAAATAATTACAAACAAACTTTCTAAATGATCTTGTTTAAAGTGGTGTAAAAACACAGCTAAACCTTTCCGAGAGATGATCCTGAAACAACTCCAGTAGGACTAGTTATTTTAATATTTAATCTCCAATGTGATAGGGATTTTAAAAAATTTATTTCTCTATCTAAAGTTAAAACAGCCTCAACAGTAATATGTTATTTTTCATTTTCCATTACAACAAGTGGGTTTACAAGCATGAAACTTTTTTAAATTTATAAGATTGAAAAGACTTTTTTTTTTTTTAATAACAAATTGGTTAGTCAGTAAGAAGTCAGTATAACAGTAGACAACAACATTTAATTAAAAAAACTCTACAATTTCCAAATGTCTATCAATCAATTTTGGTCCAAGATGGATAAAATTGCACTTGTCTATCTCGTACAGCGTCTTAAGGTAATGCCATGAGGCTATACATTTAGAACTTAAAATGAACTTTCAAAATGATTGATAAACAAAAACGATTATTGTTAAAATTTCAATTAGTTTTCGATCAAGGTCTTCTCTCGCAGGTGCAGAAATAAGAATACTACATAGCTTTCATATTTGAGTAGTAAATTAATCATTGAAATAACTTGATAATTTTCATTAGCAAGTCCACTCGTATTTGTGCAGTTAAATGCAGAACAAAATAAAGGCATTGCTAAAAAACGGGAAGTATTATTTATCAAAGATTAAAGCAACTTAAATCAGAAAACTTTGCATAGTTTTAGCCAATTTTGTTGTTGTAAACGTATTTTTATACTGCCAGGACATCCCTCAATGCCTTGCGCGTACAATTGTACTTAAAACTATGTAAAACTAAAAAAGTCAACAACCATTGGTTTCAAGAAGAATTTTTATATTTTCTGAAAATAATTTTTCTAAATGTATTTCCTTCCTCAGTTTAATTAGAACACTTATGGTATTAATTATACCATTTAAAGATAGTTTTTAGTTTGATTATATTTGTAAGATCTTTTATTCTGAACATTTTCTCTTGAATAAGTTTTTGGCTTTAATTTGATTTTATAATGATTTCAGTAATCTTGACTTGAATTGACGCTTGTAGCTTTTAATTCTTAATTTTTTATGCGGCAAATGGCAATTTAACAACAATGCTGTTTTAGAAATAAACACTTTAAAGCTAGAGTTAATAACGTTTTTGTTGGTAACGTTATTTCAGTCTACTTTTAATATTTTAGATTTAAATGACGCGCTATAAATTTTAACTACGTAGTATGAACAATTTGTTAAAATTAGGGCAAATATGAGGCCGGGTGAATAAAAAAGAGCAA